AAAACAGACTTAAAGTGGTGAACATAACAGAGAGAAGTGGGGTGTTGGTAAAAACAACCTTAGAGTGGTGTGAACATGACAGAGAGAAGTGGGATGTTGGTGAAAACAGACTTAGAGTGGTGAAAATGGCAGATAGAAGTGGGGTATTGGTGAGAACAAACTTAGATGAGTTTTGAGGGGAAAAAAAAGCAATGTACAAAATGATGAGAAAACTGCACCAGAAAAAACAAGTTTTTTTCTTGAAACTGGGACCCCAGATACCCCGTGACACTGGTCAGATATGTTTGAGCCATGTGACAAGGCTAAAAGATTTTTCAACAGTGTGACATGCTTAGAATATATCTGATTGATGTCACACCACTGAAACATTTCTGGCCAGTTAGACTTGGCTCAAACATTTCTTACCAGTCTGACACACTTCAAACATTTCTTACCAGTCTGAACCCCTTCAAATATTTCTGACCACTTTCACTTGACTAGGATATTTTTGAACACAATTTATTTACCCAAACATTTCTGGTCACAATATTACAGGTCAAATATTTTCTACCCAATCCAATATTATATTTTCTCCCAAAGGCAAAAAAATAAATGGCCACACAACCTATTAGCCTGGATACATTCTTACATTTTACAAGGCTAATAGCTTGTTCAAGGTGGGTGACTGAAGTGCATCATGCTAGTAGTATCTGTGTTGCAGCGAAGAAGATATGTTAGCTCAGGTGTGAATGTATTGAGCCACATTTCACCCTTCTTTATTTTCAATGCACCGCTCAGTGGATCAACCATTGTCTCCTCTACAATCTCACGTGGAAAGCGTGCCTTACATTGGCCTTGTGCATTTAGACAACCTTTCCGCTTCACTTTTGTAGGGTCTTCCCCATCTATCTCAGGTCTGCGGCACCCATGATGATTTGATCTAGACAAAAGATCATCTGTTGTTGCATGAAAATTACCCCACCATACTTTAAGATTAGTGCATCTTAAACATTTGTTGCACCCTCTATTCTTGCAGAGGGGAGGTGGAGGTATAGGCATAGTATGGGTTGGATTTTTGTATTCTGGATTGTTTTTCTGAGCATCTTGACATTGAGCTCGAATATCTTCAAAGGATCCTCCATGAAGTTCTCCTTTATGTACTGATTCAAGATATTCAACAATACATTTTTGAAAGTCAGATGAAGGATCCATAATTCGATCTCGTATGTCTTGAGGAGATAAGGCACCTTTTATCCACAAAAGCAGGTGAAGGTGCAGTGTTAACCTCCCTTGTTGTTCAACTGTTCCATAGTATGCATCTGTTTCTCCATATAGTCCAGGGTGATTACTTCCAACACCTAGTACATGTTTAATAAAATTTTCACAGATAAAATGAAAAAAGCGTGCTGCAGCTACAGGATTCTTCGCAATTAATGTAGAACATTCTGGTGAAAAAGTTAATTCAGGTCTGAATTCTGTGTTGGTATCAGCAAAATAAAGACATATAGGATGTTTGCCATCTGCTGGAGAAAGTGTAATAAACCAGGAGGGAGCACCAACATATGATATAAGGGACCAGACTTCATTACGCATGTACTTCTTTGATGTTGTTGAACCTTGCACGTGACCTCCAACAGAATCCAGATCCTTTAACAATTGAAAGCATTCTTTTTCTTGCTCAGTTTCTGGTTTTACTTGTTCACCTGAAGCAAGTCTTTTATTTATACTAGAAATAACTTGCATATCAAGGTTAAGCAAGCGTTCAGTTACTGAATTAAATGAGGACTTTTTGGTTGTAAGATAACCTCCAGTTGTACTTTGTTGTATTTGTTCATGATTGAATGCAATAAGTGGAAAATGTGGATCCATTTGAAATCGCTTATCATGATACATTAACAGTAAACGCTTGTGGGCCATAGTAGATATGTTATGGGGTATCATATCATTTCCGATACCTCCAAGGCCATAAGGAAATAGCCATGGTAGCATAGCAGGAAATAGTTGAGGGTTATTATAAATGGAGTTGGGTTGTTGTGAATGGCCCGCAAACATGATTTTTTTGTTAGATGTCAAATGCTTCAGTGCTCGAGCCTTTATCGCCTCCAACGACATGGTAGAATACTCTTCTCCAGTCAGCCCTTGAACTACAAAAGTACAAGGACCCTCTTCGGTACCTATCTCTTCTTCATTATCATGAACACTTGTAGCCTCTCGCTCCCTATTTATTATTGATTGACGATAGTCAATTACAACTGGTGCATCACTCAAAGGGTACTGGCTCAAATTCTCCTGTGATATTCCGATGTCAAAGTAGTCAGAATGGTTCAATTTTAACCACTCAAGTGCTTTTGAAATCTGCTTTCGACGGACCAGCAATGGTGTACGTTGAAGGTCTTTTTTGGTAGGTTGACAAGGTCCAGTAAACATAACAGCCAAGACTTCATCAAGTTCTTCAAGAGGAGGTGGAAGAGTGTCATAAATCTTTGCGACAGGATTTTGGAAAGTTATTGCATTTGCATGCATCTTGTACCGTCCAGAGGCTACTTTGATTATACAGCGATTGTGGCGAACACGTGATATGAGCAGCTGTTCAACGTAAGTTAAGCAGGCAAGCTCGTCAGGAATTTTACCAAGCCAAAAACCATTACAAAGTGCATTAGTGGGTATTTTTCCTTTGTCTAGACTTTTATTGCAAGTATTGCATATATATTTACAGTCATCATCAATTACAGGCCCTGAGATTCCATGGATTTCATCATGTTCAGATTTTCTTTCTATTCGGGAAACCCCTTCTCGAATCAATGGCTCCAAGTTATTTGTGGTATCAGATCGTTTTAACATGTCCGATAATTTTGTTAGCTGACCACAAACTGCGCATCCAGATTCAAGAAGTTTGGAAGGGTGTGTGTCTTCACAGAATCCACTAATTATTTTATGAATTAATTTCTTAGAGGGTGGTTTAGGTGGGAAATTAGTGATTTTTGATGTCTGATAAGTAGACTTATTCTCTTTACTTCTCTTAACTTTGTATGTTGGACCTTTTAAAAACTTAATATACTTTTTTTTAATGATTTTTTTCTTGTCTGCTTTACTGAGACCCTTGTACCACTTAGCTTGACGTTCAGAAGATGTCAAAGCTGGTTTCTCTGGAGCAAACAATGTATAAAATTGAGAACATCGTGAGGAACACATATGTGCTGATAAAACCTCCAAGACCTCTGCAACTGGAGATTTGCTTGATATTGTAACATTGTGCATCTTTGCAATGGATTTTGCTTGAACCAATGATATTTTTCCCTTTAATAATTCTAATGGCATATAACATATAAGCAGTTCAGGGTTTTTACGTAACTCAGCCTGAGCAGCTTGAAGCACAAACTGGCCAATGTATTTATAATTAACCGAGGTTGCATTCTGTAGCTCTAGACTGTATGGAGTGATGTATTCTTTTATTTCACTCAAGTTTGTGCTAATCTTTCCACCCCCATATTGAATGGAAGGCACAACTGCCATCGTTGCTTGACAAGGGCACCCATACCCATACCAATGTTTAATAGAATGAAGATAAGGTTCGTTTATGGTGGAGGCTTGGATAGCTGAAACTCTATTTGTCAACAATAGTTCATAGCCATACCAGTTGGAGATGGATGAGAAAGAGATAAATGTATAGGCCATTGTATATTGAATTATTTTTGAAATAAGAATAAAAGAGGACAGATGCACAACAAATCGATGTTGAACAAATAGTGCAGGTAGTGAAAATGAGAGATGCTCTTGAAACAAGCAAAGTTTATTTGCATATACATGACGGAAAGTACAGTGTCTTGAAAACCGAAGTGCAAGCAAAATGCAGAGCTTAATGGCATAGTTAACAGATAAGGAATATACAATTGCACTATAGTATACCAAGGCTGGTATTTGACTGCACAGGTATTCTAACGTGAAACCAAATAGTGAATGAATAATGCAAGTTACTTTTACTTTTAGTTCTCGAATTTCATCAGCAATGACAGAGTTTGTCATAGCCTGAACATATATTTCCCAATCTCTCTGCATAGTCAAGTGTATCTCAATGTCGTTGACATAGTCAACATGTGCCAGCAGGCTTGGATTGTTTCCAATCTCTATTATGGGTGCATGACGGCTCGGGTTGTTTCCAACCACTATCAATCCTTGGCAAATTGCTTTGGATTCTATGTTTATATCAACGGGATAGATTGTAAGGAGCAGAGGGATGATGGTAAGTAGCAACAGAGTCCACCGATATGGATGCATAGTCGATGGAGGACAAAGAATATTGGCAGTTGTTGTTCAAATATTTGAAAGTTGAACAATCACATGACTTGAATTTACACGGACATGTGATTCAGCAATAGCACTCAGCGCATCGCACTTAGCTCAACTTGTCTAGAGAAAAATCTGCGAGGGAGTACACAAATTTAACATTTATAACTCTTGCTCATTATCTGAGCCACTTTCAGATGCTCTAGACCCATCATCGTCTGTTTCTGTGTAGTCGCTTCTTGAGAACATTAGAGTCAAAAGTATAAATTGAATATTGAAACTCACCTTGCCAAGTCCTCCACATTAATTTCACAATGCGAAAGTATTACACTATCTGTTTGGATGGAAATCTGTGTAATAGAGGGCATCATACCGCACACATAGTTTGCAAAGGAAGTTCGACTGCTACTATGCTGCCAAACAATGACAAGCTTGGATGCAAAGTATTTAGGTTCACAAATTTTGAAAAGAAGAATAGCAATGAGCGATATTGATTGCAAGATGATGGTGAGAATATTGTACAAGGTGCACATGGCATATAACAAGAGCTAAAGACGACGGTGTATAGAACATTATTCCACTTTTGCTTTCTTGCGTGGAGGTTTGACAACATCAACAATCATGTTGGCGTTCTCAGAGTTAATCCGCAGCTTAGTGGCCTCAAAGTACTTGATATCAAAAGGCGTCTGCCCTGCAAGAGTAAAATCTAAATATTAATAAGTACCTGCAAAAGACAATAACCATACATTACTCACCAACAGATGGGGCTCTCCATGATGTGCGTTCCCAATCACGCCGCCATTCAACGTTATACTTCTCCTCCTCCTTGAGGCCGAGAGAGTGCGAAGGAACACGTTCTTTATGCACCCAAGCAGCCTTCAGAATCGGATCTACCTCAAGAACATTGGCGATCTGTTTGCTGAGCAAATGGGAGGTGCAATGGGGAACTCCGCCATAAGTCTTTGCTTCAGCAAGGCTTTTGTAGTCTGATAGACTGGCCAAAATCTGCACAAAAAAAAGAGATATCAGATCATCGGCAAGACCATCTGGTGGGCCAGTGAAAGTGGCGCATGAACGGAGCCATTTGAGGATGTGTAAAGCAACACCACGAGCATAGCAATACGCGATTCGTTCATTGTTGGGAATGGCATTGATGTCACCGGTGTCCATCAATGTTCTTTGGGTAGGAGAGGCTTCATCATCTTCCCCTTGATTTGGAGTGCTGTAAGTCCTAAAATCCAGGACGTTGCCAAGTATAATCAGGACTGCAAGACAGATGATGTTAAGCACGCCCTCCATTGTCTCGACGTTAGGTAGATGAACCAATGCAGGATCTGCAAGTGGAAATGAGTCAAAGGTATAAACAATGAGGGGCGAATCTCACCGTCTTCAGAGATGGCACCCTCAATGAGGCCAACTTGGTAGAAGATCAGGATCCTCCGCAATAGGTGACGAGAGGGAATATGCTCCGTGTTCGTCAAGAACTTGTTGAGAACAAAGGCATGTACAATGCCTTGCAGAGTCTCCTGCATAAGATAAGAGGAATAGTAATGGCCGCCCTGTGCAATCACATCATCTATGCCATATACCCAATGTGCAGAATTGGGCAGCATATGACTGCAATATCATGAGATAATGCCATGATTATCAACACAACACTCACAGTTCATCACCAGGCCGAAGAACAACAGCCTCAAAGTCATACTTGATATCCTTTGGCTTCCCAGAGAGAGAAAAACCATCTTCATCCATGTAGAAGTCAATTGAAGAGAGTTTTTTCGAATCTCGCGGCCTTAAAAAGGCCCACAGTTTTCGTCCAACTTTAGTGCCATATCTTGTGTTGAAACCATCACAGTCAATGTGGAGAAAAGTGAGAACGTGCTTAAGACCAGCAATACCCCATTCACGGTCCTGGGTTGGGAAGGGTCCATGAAGCGGAATTCTGTGGGTCCGACGGGTAAAATTCCATGCAACAGCATCTGTTTCATAATTGTTTGAAGGACGATAGGAAGACCACATGGGGAGGTCAAGTCCGTTCAAAATCTTGCCTGTGCTCGAGGCATTCTCAAGAAGGTCGTTAACATGGCCACTGACAACAGAGGGAACGCAGTCGGTCCCTGGGTTGATGACTGAGAAGTCTACAACAACGATTTAGATTATTAGACCAAAAATATATATATATAAGTTCAAACGAACCGGTAATGGATATCTGTGCAGTCATGGAACCAACAACGGTGCGAAGGCCTTTGGCATCGAACTGCATCTTTTCATCGAAGGGGAGCCCAGTGACAACGACCTGTTTATGGCGCATTTTGTTCTGGATGTCTGAGGCAGACATGGTGGAAAAGTCTTGATGATGCAATTTTGCCAGACAAGAGTTTTGTGGATCCACGATGTGAGGAGGACGACCCTCAATGTAACCATCATAAACAAGTTCCATAAACTCTTGGAACCGGTCATTGAAGACACCATGCTGAATGATGAAATATAAATGATTATTAAAACTCATAAACAAGTTTGACACGTACGTGGAATTCTGGCGTGAATTCATGAGGATTGCCATCAATATCATAAACTGTGAATGACCGGTCACAGACAATGCGAGGAGCTTCTTCTTTACTAAAAGAAATCTCTTCATCCTTGCCCTGAAAGCTGAT